TAAATCCGCCAAAGAATTGAACAAAGAAAACCTGATGGCCCCTCCTCAAGCTGACTCTGGACGACCCGGCGCTTGGGCTCGTCTTCATCATGGAAGACGAACCCGAGCTTGGCGAGAGCTTCGTCGTTCACTAAGACCCCGAGCTCGTAAGGGCCGCCCGAACACAACTTGTCCGTGTCAGCAATAGCCTTGGAAGAGGCAAAGGGTTTGGACCGTCTGCGAAAAGAGCTGAGGGGAGTGTCTCGGAAGGGGGAGGCCGCCCCCACGGAGACGAAAACAAACTTGGACTTCCAAGTCCTGTTGGATTCCTTCTTCGTTCTAAAAAGTCTCTCTTGCCGCTGGCAGAGGGCGGCAAAAGAACCCCCATCCGACCCGGAAGACTTCGCCACTCGGAACAAGGTCAGTAGGCGCTCAAGGTCGGCCCACACGCCCATCTCCCGACAACGGATCAAGAACCCCGCCAAGTACCGGTGCGAGTTCGGCACCAATTGACACGGGAGGAAGTCAAAGTACTTGAAAAAGTCGGTGACCAAAGACTCCAAGGGGAAGCGGAAGCCGCTCTCAAGGGACTTGAGATGGATGGCGAAGTAGCCCGGAGGAGCGTCGAAGACCGACTCCTCCGGAGTTGGGCGACGAACGGTCACGAGGGGGCCGGCGTAGCGCATCGCCTTGAGGAACTCGTCACTCGACAAGTCGCAATTGCACTCGCGGATGAGCGAGTCCACGAGCAATGTGCGCTTCTGAAGGCGGGGCTTAGTTTCCCCGGGCACCTCTACGGCCGCGATTTCCTCAATGGATGGGGAACCTGGCTGCTCCGCTTGGCCGCCCTGGGGTACGGAACCCTGACTGCCGAGCACGAGCCCGTGCTCGGCTTTGGACGTGTGAAGAGTGGAAGACTCGACAGACATGGAATGAGCAGAACAGAGGGACTGACCTCGAGTGTGTCGCCGAAGAGACGGTCGGAGAGCAGCGAACGGCCACGGAACGACAAGAGGACGGCAACCTAATATTTTCTCTCTCTAGAATTTGTGAGAATGAAGAAAGCCTTGGGGGTTATTTATACTAAAATTGGGCCCGAATAGTGATGGGCCGAACATGTGTCACGATGGGCCGCCAATTGGGAGAAGCGAAGCGCCACAACCGTACGCGGGGAACTCCAAGCGTCACCACATGCCCGCCAACCTGCGCGTGGGCCCACGAGCTGACCAACCACGGTGCTTTCTACTCTCACGCGCTCCACTGCTAGGTGCCATGGAACCCGGAGAGTGGGGGGCTTCTGATGGGGAATAACCCCACACCAGCCTAGGGCTGACATCAGCATAAATTTCCAAAGGATCGGGCTTGGACGTTTCTGCCCAGCCCTGCGCTCCGCTCGTCCTTCCTGCCCGGCTCTGCACTCCGCTCGTCCTTCCTGCCGGCTCTGCGCTCTGCTCGTCCTTCCTGCCCGGCTCTGCGCTCCGCTCGTCCTCCCTGCTCGGCTCGGCCGACCAAGTCGAGCCCGAGCCCCACGACAATGACATGCGGAAAGCGACGTTCAACGGAGACTTGAGGAAAGCGATAGGATGAAAGGGACAAGACGTGCGGAAAACGATGTTCAACGAAGACTTGGTGAAAGCGATAGGATGAAAGGGACAAGACCTAAGGACAGGTGACGTCCGCTAAACGACGGGCCTCGATCAGAGGGCTTTGACTTAGTATATTTTACCCCCTATAAAAGGGGTGGCACCCCTCATTGTAATGGATCCGAATTTGGAATCAATATACTCCTACTTTGCATTCTCTCTCTCTAAAACTTATATTATTTCATACTCTCGATGGTTAGCCATCACGATAATTGTTATTTAAATAATAATAATAAATTTTATTTTTTATATGTGACATTATTATTAGAATAGAGTAATTATTAATTACTATATTAATTAATCTTAAATAAAATATTGGTGGGTTCTAATGAGACTCTCTTTTAGCATATGTTTGGATGAGAGAAGAAAATAAGAGGAAACAAAGCATTAGTGTTATTGGTTGCCGCTTATCATTCAAACTATCCCGTTCATCTAATTTTAAAATCAAACCAAAAAAAATTGAATATATAAAATTTACCAAAACGAAAACTGAAATCCGTCCCTTCTCTCTCGTCTCTGAGCTTTCAAGCACCTCTCGTCCATTTCAAGAACCAACCGACGAAGATTAGAGTACTCAACCTGACGCCACCTCCACTCAGGTATAAACCCTAGTTTACTTTTGGGTTTCTTTTTCCAGTCTTGTGCGAACTCATCTCGAATGGCGTTTCAATTTGAAAAGCTTTCTGCGGTTCTTACTTTTGATTTCGAATTTGGTGTTAATTTTGTTGCAAATTTGAATAACCCTGATTTTTCAAATTTTGTGCTATTGTTGCCACCTCCAAGATTGAGCCAAATTTCTTGTTACTCATGATTCTCAATGATGGGTGATTGTGAGCATTAGGATGATAAATTAGATGAGATGGATGGTTTGGATGGAGAGTGGCAACCAATGACACTAAAAGGGAGTGTCATTGGAACCCTACCGTATTATTATTATTATTATTATTATTATTATTATTATTATTATTATTATTTAAGTAAGTATTATTACCCTAGAGTAATACTAGTTGTTAATTATTTTTAAATAAAACGTTGAAAATATTTTTTACATTTTTGTGGTCTGGTTATCTGAATGGGTCTGATTGATCAAATGTGATATGGATTTCAATTACTCCTGATTTCCCAAGCTTCCCTTCCGTTCAGGTATTTCATTTTCAGCTATCCATTTTCACCTTTCCATGCTTCACCTTCCTACATTTATTAGATATACCAAAAAAAGAAGTCATAATTCAGACTTTCAGTTATTGAGATATGAAATAAGTGTTGTTTCGGACATGAAAACTAATACATCAAAGCAAAAGGGAAACATGTTGCGACCGCTATGAAAGCATATGCTTTATATGGTCAAAATTCAATATCTGAAGCACTAATCTATAGATCTTCAATTAATTGTATAGAAGATATGTGCTTTCTTTTTTATATTTTTCAGTTTTAGGATTTTATATATTTTGATTCACAACTTTCCAGTCTGGCTCTATAATGTTACTTAAGTATGTGTGTCAATTTTTTTTTTGAATATCAGTAATAATTAAGTCAATTGCATCAGAATGTTTGTGTTTAAATTTTCAATATTATCTAGTCCCTCCTTTTCTTAACACTATGTTTGGTTCAACTAATTTGAAATGGAGAAAAAAAGCAAATGAGATGGAAAACCAATTTTCTTGTTTGGTTAGAGAGGGGAAAAAAAGAAAAGTAGAAACAAAAGAAAATAAGAATTCAAAATGTACTAAGTGTAGGGAACAAAATTCCTCCCATTTTAGTAAAGAAAATGAGAGAAAACCATTTTCTTTTCTTTTCCTTTCAAATTCCTTGAACCAAACATAGTGTAAACAACATTGGTCAAACTATATCTTTTTTTACTTATATATTTTAATTTTTTTTAAAAAATGAAAGTCAGCTCATCTTTTGTTTTGTAAAACTTTTGATGTACTCCGTAATTTTAAGTGTATACGGAGTAAGTCTTGTACCAATATTTAAACAGATTGACAGTCAAACGTTGTAAATCAAATTGTAGATTTCTTTTTTAGATAGATGGATTATTACCTTCAGAGTTGTGTGCCCCTCTTGGTGCTAAAAGAGTCACTTTTGACAATGTTATAGCTTTGGGTTGGAAATAATGGGCTAAATCAAAATGGAACATTGAACTTCCTCGCTTTTTATGTTCTATGAAGTTTTTGGGAAGTAAATGTAGCAATGCAGTCTTAACAAAAACAACCTCTCTGTTTATTTACTTTTTTTTGTAAACGATTTTGGTCCAATCTCAGCCTGGTCTATGTTTGTGGTGACGGAGTGTGAGATGCTTTATAACATGAGAAATAAAGTTTCCTCACCTATCAAGCATATGTCACAATTATCATATAAATATGGAGTATATTCTAATATATAGTCAGATTGCAGATTTATTCAGAGGCAATAGTGTCGTGAGGAAGAGACTCAATGGGGAAGGAGGTATATAGAAACCTTGTGAAAGCAGTGAAGAAACACATAGGAAAAGAAGAGCACAAAGCCCATTTCACCAACTTTATAAAGGAGGAGTTTCGGAAGAGCATTAGCAATGAATCTGCTGCTAAGAAGGATCTTTCCTCCACACTTCTTCAGGATAGATTAAAGCTTGCCAAGGATTACACCTTGCTGCTCAATAGTGTTCACCATCAAAAGGTTACTTCTTGTGTCTTTTACATAAATTAACAACCTAACATATTTTGCTTGCTAAAACTTAAAAAAGAGTGATTTCAAATTAATAGGTAGTCATGTGTCCCATAAGAACCAGTGTTTCAAACATACTTGTTTTAATCAAAAGATTCTAATTTTTCAATGTAATAAGCAATAAAAGGTGGCTAGTTATATACTATAAATGCTTTGATGCATTTGTATTTTATGGTTTTACTAAAACTAAAAGGATGTATATGGGACAAGCAAGACTCTTTTTCATGGTATAGAGGAAGAGAGGTAGTAAAAAGTACTGTGATATACTCATATACTAATATGGTAGTACTCTTAGTAGAGAATAGAGATGAATGGAAGATTTGAGCTCATCTGTCCCGTCATCGACTTGAACTAAGAGGGTGTTTGTTAGCCTTGAAGCCTTCTTTGGAATTTGCAAGGTAGAAAAGTGATTCTCACGTTTGGTACTGACTTTGATCAAATATCTCAAAAATAAGGGAAAGTTGCAATTTTCGGGAGAGTTCCTAGGAATTACATGAAGGGTAAAAACACTAAACCCCCTTTTAATAGTGGTTCAAATAAGTTTGCTTAACTTTGTTGAATTCATTAGTTGAGGTGTTGGAGTATTGGACCATTTTCCCTTCAAAATTTTGGCTGATTGCTCATGATTATATACTTTCTTGGTGTGGCAAGATTATACTACAATGTTTTTTTATTAGAATTGACAGCGATATATGATGGTTTTTACTTTGATGTGCTAAATTGTTGCATATACTGGTTCAACAGGAGTTGCTATATTCTTATAATATAGCCGTTGATAGGTCGGATGAGATGAAAAAAGTATTGGGTAAATCTGCTGCCAGTGTTGGCCTCCAACTCCCTGAAGTTTATCAACCATGACAGCCAGTAAGTACCTCTCTACCTACTCATTGTGCTTCTTATTGCTGTACCATGAGAATATGAGTCGCGATCAGAACTGGTGACCGGACCTGTTTGGTGAAGAATCCGTGAACCCACCATTGATTTTCTAATTTCCAGATTGGGATATTAGTTTGAGAGAGTGGAGTTTATAATTCGGGAAATTAGGTTAAGTGCAATATGGTTTGGGAGTTTTAAAGTCTGATATCATAATAAATTCTTCCATATTAGTACTTCAATTTGGATCCCGGAGAATTAACTATTGACACATATTCTTGTTGATGTTTCATTTGCTTTTTTTTAGCGCCAAACCATTCAACACCCGAAACTCGGAACTGCCTCCCGAATCAGATGCATTCATAAATTTGCAACTTGTGTATGCACTCAAACCTTGATTTGGAGAGACCACCTCCTCTTCTTCTTACTGTATTTCTCTCAAGAAGTCAACTTTCCTTTGGGAAAAAGAAAGAAAGAAGAAACTCAAATTCTGATACTGTGAGGTTGTGAAGATCCCATTTGAAGTCATATTTTTGATGTAGATTTGGTAGAAACTGGTAAGGCACTTTTCTTCATTACAAAAGGCATTAATAAATGGCATATGTTATGTGTCCAAGGGGAAGAAAATGATGTATTACTTCCTCCCTCATACATCTTCCCATTTTTTTTGTATCTCCCCATGGGAAAATTTTTCACACTAATTTTATGGAGAGAGAGTGTGTGGGATAAGAGGGATTGAGAGCAAATTATTTTCTCACCATTGGGATGCATTCAAAAAAATCACAAAAAATTGTTGAGGAAGTGAGGTGAGGAAATATTTTTTACTCACCACCACCACTTATGTGAACTTTTTACGGCGGATCTATAATCCTATGTTCTTTTTTGACCGATCATTATGACTTGATATATTTTTTAAAAAATGAATAAATATGACATGATAGGCAAAGTATGCCCATATTCTTGAAACTTGTACTCCATTGATCTTTTTTAATTTTTCTATTTTAATTTACGATGTTTAAAAAATTGTTTAAAATTCATTTCATTTAAATGTTGGTGTGCCATTTAACAATATTAAGGCCAGAATCGAAGGAAAGGTTGAAACTGAAGGAAGTGAGACAGATAAGGTAGACGTTTTGCGTGTAAGGTTCTTTCATATTTCATAATACAATCATGCTAGATGTATCCCAAAGATTATATCCAAAATGTACTCCAATGACTTATATTGATACAGGATGACAGTACAATCACAAAATTTTGCACTGTCATTTTGTATCAATATAAGCAATCAATCTCGTACTTTGACACAAAAAGCAAGTATATACCTTTAGAGTACAATCGTTGGGATATAAATATATTATTCTTAATAATAACCATGGTTGGATAATAGTGCAAATGCATGATTCACTCCAACATCATCAACTAGCCCAAGATAGCCAGCACAACCATCCCCAAGGAATCAGATGCCCGGCACAACACCGAAAATAAACCTTTGGATCATAATGAAATAAAGTCTACCAATTACTCGTAATTTTTTTTAAAAAAATTATAGTAATAAGAATAATTTTAAAATGTTATTGTCTTTACCCGAAGACGACGCATATCAACAATCTTTAAAACTCAAGAAGCATTTCTAGCACCACTACATATAAAAATACAAAACAAGATGTACTCCCTCCATGTGGTTTACTACTTTGGGTAAACAGATTCTAGGCATTCTTTGGCTCGGTGGACTTTGGATTGAAGATAGAAGCTCCCCTTCTTTGCATTTTGCTCAAACAGGTTATCGTACTTCTGCACCCACAAAGAAAAGTATTGATATTCATTGGTTTGAGAAACATAGTAACACACTTGGGGGTGCCAAAGCTGTGGTGATATTCAGATTGAGATTGGGCAAAGAATTAAAAGAAGACGATGGCTGACCTGCAAGACCTCTTCCCAAGTGGATTTCTCCGCGACACCGAGGATTTGTCTTGCCTCCATCTCTGTCATTGTTTTCCCCACTCTTTTTATGTTCTGAACCGCTTCTTGAGCCGCGCCAGTTTTGGAAGCATCTACAATTATTAATCAAGCAACTAAATCATTACAAGAACGAAGCTAAAAATTTTGAGAAAGGCCAAACAAGAAACTGTCATCTGTCTCCACGACAAGTCACATAATGAGCATATGAACGTCAGAGATACTCGTATGTGCTACATCTCTTTAAGCTTCAATGGTGCACCTTGGGTGCATACCATTTTTGTAGACCTTCTCACATTAAAAATTGTTTTTTTTTCATTTTTTTATTAAAAAAATAAATGATTATCTAAGTAGTAAAGAAATGCTTATTAATATAGGTCCACCATAAAATTTGCCTTAAATTATTGCTACCTAGTATGATGATATGGAATATGGACCTTACAGTTGCAGGAATGGAAGTACAAAGTCTAAAATGAGATCTTATTAGTTTCACGCCCCCAGCCCACACACACACACACACACACACACAAAAGGGGTTAGTCACATGAGGTATGGAGAGAGAGAGAGAGAGAGAGAGAGATGTTTACTTGTTAGTGCTTGGCGATATGCTTGAGCAAATGCCCTCACCATTATCCCGGAACCCAAAACAACCAATTGTGCTATAAGTCTAGCTGCCTGCAATACAAAGATATCAAAACTCCAGCTTATTTCTACTTCCAGAATATATCCACATGCCAGTTGGATATGCCAGTGATATACCAGTAGAATAGATATAACTAAAGCAGAGGGAGAACTCTGTTTGAACACATCCTTAAGAGTTAAGGCAAAATATTGAAACTTAATATCACATGGTTCAAAATTTTTTTATGTGGAACTCTTCATCCACATTGCTTCGGTTTTGTTACTATTACACATTTATATGTAAACAGTTCAGTTTTATCACGTTAGTCGTTAGGTAAGTTGTAGGTTATATTGCTCCGAATTGCCTAAAATATGAAATACACCTTATAGTGGCATACTAGCTAGTAGCCACCCAAATTGGGAATTCCTTTTCATTGCCACCTCCTGCTCAGATCAAAGCATGGTTGTTAAGTTGACAAGTCGAGTCGAGTCAGTGACGGGGAGAGTAGTGGACTAGGCGATCATTCGTAGACTAGTCGTAGACTAGTCGACAAATCACAATTAAAATTGAAATTTTTAACATTATATATATCTACATTAACCCAACATGAATATATATATATATATATATATATATATATATATATATATATATATATATATATAGATTTTGGTTCTGGTGAGAATGCAATCTTAGGAGAGAAATGAGAATGAATCTAGTGCTTTAGATTGTGAGATCTAAGGGTCAAGATTTCATCAAAATTAGATGCACCAAAATGGTGCGAAAATGCATCACGTCGAAATGCACCATAAACCTTCGAAAATGCACTATCTCAAAATTTGAGCGCAGGATGCAATCTGAGTCGTACGATGCATCAGATCCGACGGCTAGATTTTATTCTCATTTCTCTCTACAAGGTGCATTCTCACGGGAACCGGCCCCTATATATATATATATATATATATATATATATATATATAGATTTTGGTTCTGGTGAGAATGCGATCTTAGGAGAGAAATGAGAATGAATCTGGTGCTTTAGATTGTGCGATCTAAGGGTCAGGATTGCGTCAAAATTAGGTGCAACAAAATGGTTTGAAAATGCATCACGTCGAAATGCATCATAATCCTTTGAAAATGCACTATCTCAAAATCTGAGCGCAGGATGCAATCTGAGCCGCACGATGCATCAGATCCAACGGCTAGATTTCATTCTCATTTCTCTCCACAAGGTGCATTCTCACAGGAACCGGCCCCTATATATATATATATATACACACACACACACATATATATATACAAAATACCATAACCAAAGTAAACTTATGTTTAAAGATGTAGACGGAAGTAAGGGAACTGCTGGAACTGGAAGACGTCGCTGATGGAGGAGAGTCGCGACCCTGGATTGACTGTCAATTGGATGGATTGCGTCGAAGGACGCCGTGTTTTATCGTAAATTTTAAATATTAATGAGATTTGGGTCGGGTTGGGTTAACTTGGGTTAGGTCAAATTGGGCAATTTCTTTCAGCGACTAGGCATCGCCTACGCACGACTAAGCGTCGCCTTGCAAGCTTTATCGCCTAGTCTGCCCTAGGCGCTAGTCGAAGAGCAAAGCGTCATCTCAAAACCGCCCGGACGACTAGTCGGCGACTAGTCGTGGCCTAGGCGACGACTTGACAACAATGGATCAAAGGATTCTTGACTATCCTTGAATCCCAATTCCCCAAATGCCTATTGGCTCGCCTTACACAATCTCGCATTTTCAACATTGCATTTCATTATTTTTGTCCAACAAACAAATCTTTGTAAAGTTAAGGAGCATTTGGTGACGCTTAAAAGAGTGGCCAAAAAGACTGTCCGTGTGCAATTGTGGGACTTAATCTCAATGTCCTAATGTCACTTTTTTTTAATGTCCTAATCTCACATTGTAACTTACTAACTTTATATCTCAAGTCTTTTTGAATTCTTCTACTGCTGAGAACTCAGATGTGTTGGAACTGAAATCCAATTAACCACTAAAAACTTGGTCATCCAACTAAATTTCTGCAAAGAATAACCTGTTTGAATTTCCTATATCCATGATTTTGAAGCCAAAGTACCCCGGCTGAATTTAGATTAATAGGTAGTAATAAATTCAGATTTCCAGGACCTAAAAGATATTCTTTATTTTCGTCTTGCGGTTAAGGTGAAGAATAGTACGACGTAAATATTCGAAGAACTATGTATTACACATCCTAACATCATGTGGAGTAAAGAACACCGACTAAACCACTTCCAAAAACTAAAGCAAGCACAGTAAGGAAAGTATATTTATAGCTAGTCACATATTTGAAGTGGGGAGTATAATAACATAAAGCTTACCATTGCTAAGAAACAGCAACAACTCTAGCAAGTAGCACCTGTAGAAATCAAAACTGCAACAATAAGAAACTTCAAATGAGATTTTCTGGGTATCCAGACTTTCGCTGGTTTGCATCTTAGAGTAATTAGCCTCTATGCACCCCACACAAATCAGTTTAAGACACTTGAATCATATAGATTGCTTCATCTTCCTTATCAGAAGGGAGTACAAACCTTTTAAGATGCTGATGGTGTATACTATCCGAGTAATGCTAAGAGCAACACATTTGCCAACGAATCCACTAACAAGAAGCAAAACGGTTATTTTTTTCTTTACATTATTGAGGTGAACTTCTCGTTAGTGGATTCGGTGGCAAATTTGTTGATGCATGTCTTTAGCATTACTCATACTATTCTAACAACACTTCAATTGATCTATCTTCTTATATTCAATACTGAGGAGACACTCTTATAAAGGATATGTGCAGAAAAGACACAAGTATATAGAAAATTAGACTAATCAACCAATGACAGGAAATCGAGAAATTCCGCTCCTATAAACTCAGCACATGGTATCAATCAACGTTCCAGTTTCTTCCTATACTAAAACCACAGCTACGAAGTACGGACGAGCCGAACCTGAGAGGAATGGGGTGCAGGAACCGGGAACAACCGGAATCGCCTCGGAACTCTCCCTAACGCGACTGAGATACGACGGGATAAGCTCACGCAGGCTTCGTTTGGAGTGGATTTTTCCCGGCGGCGGACAAATGATGAAAAACAAGCGTAGCATCAGACGCACATCAAGCAGAACAAGGGCGCCGAGTTGTGGTAAAGAAGAGGTGGAATCGGAATCCGGCGACGATGGATTGCGGCGGAGATGATAGGGTCGACGATGATGTATTTGGGAGCGACTGTTTTCGGATTTCATTTTTTTACATCGGAAGAGGTTTGACCAAGGGTTGCTTGTGCAGTAATTTATTGTTTTTAAAAGTCTTTTGAAAATTTTAATAAGCACCAAAACAAATTTCTTTTATTTGGTTGGCATCCCAAAAAGATTGTAACATTACATAAGATAAAGTAAAATTTTCTATTTTTTAGTTCATTTTATTTAAAACTTTTTATAGAAATAAAAATTAAATTTACGTATTTAAAAATTACATTAAAAAATTTACAAAATAAGATATGATAAGAATATTTTATTTTATTTAATAATTAATATAAAATAAAAATAAACAAAAATTTCTGTAATTTATGAATAATAAGTTATAATATTCTTTTGCCTAGGAAAAGAATAAAAACATCTCTTCTTATCTTTCTGAATTTTACAAACCAATCAAAACAATTTTTAATACTATAGATTTTATTGCTCAAATGTTAACATTGAAACTTTGAAGTTAAATATTAAAAATAATGTCACACAGAATAATAAATTTTGTACGATCTCTTATAAACGGTGAACATGAATATAAAGTTAGTGTAACCGGAGTGAAGATGATTCAATAGATAAGCGGGCGTACGCATGTAGATAGAGTAAGGAATGAAAATATTAAAGCAAAAGTTGGAATGACAATTGTTACTAAAAAGATGGTGGAAGTCGTCTTAAGTAGTTTGGACATGTAGAGAAAAGACCAATAGAGTATCCACTGAGAAGGGTACATTAAATGAAAAATAGACATGTAGTTAGAAAAAAAGACCTAAGAAAATTTGGAACGAATGTTCAAGTATGATTAGCTCGTGAACAATCTCGCTACAAACATGATACACATGAAAGAGCACAATGGCGCCGTTTGGTTAAGTCCCCGACCATACTGAGTGGGATCAAACTTGATTGTTTTACAAACAATCTAGTTTCACTATTGCAGAGAAAAATCAAAATTTTGACACTTAATATTGATGTGCACTTGAAACGTTACTGCGAGTATTACTGTATTAGTTTGCTGTTAATTTTTTTTGTAAATTATTCCCTCTATTTGTATTTAATTGGATTGTTAAATGAGGTGAAATAACGTTTAGTAAAAAAATATATTAAATCTATGATATATTTTCAAGAATACCTTTATTAATCATACCCTTACGGCCTTATCAGCTATTGTATTTCAAAGAAAAAAATTACAAACACGTCACGGCCATATTAAATACCTTTATTCCCTCAAGGGGAATAATACCCGAATTCGACTTTTGACAACAACGATGAAAGACCAAACATTACATAAAAATCATAATGACTCTTTGGAAAGGGGTGTAAGAAGACTTATAAGCCCTCACAAGAAGTCCCCCAACCACCACCAGTATGTAACTACTCAAGGTAAAATGTTTATTTCACAACTATTGACAAAACATTTAAGAGTAATTACTGTATGATTTGCAGACATGCGTAATCTCAAGTACTACTAACAGTGGGCATCAAGAGACATTGCCACTTAAATTAGTACGATTCGAAGCTAATGACACTGGGAAAAAAACTAAAGCCAAACAGGAAGAAAGAACGATAGACACTATCGACGAGCCAAGAAATTCATCAAATCAACTGTTTATGTATATATATGTATGTACACCAGAAATGAAGAAAAGGATACTAAGCTGACATATAAAAAGATTCTAGCTACAGACATGGGGAACAATTTCAGTTTCTACAAAAGCAAGAAGATTCTTTTTTTTTTCCTTCAAAGAAAAAGGGTATGTGAATTCGGGTCTGGATACCTTCTCCACCTTTATGCCCTTTTAGCCGTGGCCGCATTCATGAAATGTCCCATCCTCTCTCTTCTATTGCCTGGCAAAGAAAGAAGAAAAGCAGTTGGGTGAATTCAGAGAACAATGGCCCATTGTGAAAGAAACACTAAGAGCCAAACCTCGAAAGAACGAATGAAACCCAAGTCAATGTTTCTACGGTTAAGCCCAAGTCCTGGGTTTTTCATGGGCGAAGGGCGAGATTGTGTCTTCATTTTAAAAAAAAAAAACTAATTCATAATCTGTAAGGAGTAATTGTTAGCCCCCCACTGGCATATCCTATGAATTCATGGCAATCTTATACACCACTAACATTTGGTCATTTTTCTTCCAATTATTGTTCCATGAGTCTAGGGCACATGTCCTAGTTGGTTAAGGTGAATGGTGGCATCATTGTTTGCCAACTGTTTGCCAGGACAACATAATACTCCATTTGTCCCACATTGTCCTTCCTATTTTCCTATTTTGGTCCTTCCGTTGGGGTCAGTGGTCAAGATGTACACCCCCTGCAAAGACGAGAGACTCTTTTAGCTCCATTGGCAATGGGAAGGTAGTTGATTTCATTTTTTTCTAAATAAATCTCAACTGCAATACTTTACTTGCCGAGTATTGATGACCAAGTATTTAATACTTTATGATTTTTAATATTTAATATTTAAACAGATCCTATTTTCCTATTTTATTTTAGCTCACTGAGACAAACCTATCTTGATGACCGAGTATTTAATATATTTGCACGATCGTGTTGGCTGCTCACCCAGGAGCGAATTTGACCCACTTATTTTTAATAAACCTTTTGCCTAAGCCAACAGAGGGGAATCAGCCTCTTCAGGAATAATGATTTGGTGGTCAGAATAAATGACTGGGAAGGAATTCGACAAAGTAACATTTGGAGTGACAAAAATTCAATCAACTCCGAAGAATTAGGTAGCAAGGAGTTTGTGATTCTTGCAACATCAGGAATTGATCTGAGGATTCACGTGGAGGTAGTAAAAGGCACCATAAGTTTCTTTATTTCAAACACGTTTATGACACTCAATTCCCAAGAATCCCCTTATTCCAATGAATAAGAAGTCACCCAAAACAAGGCCTGCTTTTTATCACTCACCTGTCACACCTCAGAAGAAGATGAGCTTACAATTGATAATGTAAAATTGATTCGAGGAATCACGGGAACCTCCAAATTCATAACTTCTTTTATCCCAGTTCCCAAAATCATAACTTTTATTCATTTTCATTTGGTAGTAAAACTCGCTGTGAGTTTTTTTTCCCACGTGTTTTTCACACCCAATTCCCATGAATCCTCTCATTCCATGGAAGAAGATGTCATTCAAATGATGCCTGCTTTTGTCACTCACAACTCACAAGAAGTTAAGCATACAACTCTGAATGCAGATTATGTTCACAAAACAGTAATTTCAGAAAACTATCCATCACAATCTCAAAAATAATGTCCATGTATAAGATGAGTAAGTTTGCTGACCTGAAGTGTGAGTTGAGTGATTGATCAAATGGCTTCTTGCTCTTGCTCTTGTGGTATGGTAAGGAGCATCGGTCTAACTGATATAACGGGCGTGTAGTTGATCTCATAATTCACGGGTAACGACCCGAATATATTGAACTTCCCAGCACTGCTATAAGCAACTTCTGCATCACACCCCCTTTTAAACACCACCCTGCCACGACAACACTCGGGATGAACTTCGGTCTCCAATTCCTTTATCGGCCCAAACCGTCTAAATATCTTATTAAGGTTCATCTCTGAAGGAAGCCAACCTCCGCCCTCTCCAAACTTCAAGATAAGCTCCGCCGGGTCCCGCTTTCTTTTCTCAGCATCTTCATCTGCTGCTGCTGATACTGCAGCTGCTACGGCCACATCAGGAACTGAATTATTCCCAATAGAGTACCGTTTCCTAGAGTATGACCGCCGGCTTTTTTTATTAGGACGCGAAGATTTATTATCCAATGAATCAACAACCGAATGCTGCAATGGTTGTTGGTCCTCCGAATAGTTTTGAACAATCATGTCTGTCCAATATGAGTCGTTAATGTCATCATCAAATTCAAAGCCTTCGTCAACAGCTTCCTGAGAGCCTTTTCTCTTTTTACTACCCCCAACACTAGCCGGCCTTCCTGAAGGGGGCGGATTCTGCAGCACCAACTCAGATAGCTGCTTTGAGCATTTTCTGAGATCTAAAATGGATCTGATAAAAGTATCCAAGAACGTATATTCTCCTGTTGGGGCCCGTGCCACCAACTGAAGCTGGGAGTACAACTCATTAATGGATGGGGGGTTGTGTGCATGACCACCATTGGCGGTCTCTGGTTGCACACAGTCACCTTTTAAGTGGCTAGCTGCTCTTAGGATGCGTTCCCCAATCTTGAAAGGTGGGGGACTTGGAGTTACTGGAGACACTTTTGCAGCATAAACACTCTTTACTCCTTCAGATTTACAGTCCAATTCAGAGCTGCTGCCTATTATCTCTGACATTCGTCTCTCTTTCGAAGAATGGTACTTGCGTTTATGGGAGGGGGTCACCTTATTATTGCTCGTGACTGGCCCTGCGTTGTCGTCATTTTCTAACTCTCCTCCCTGCAAGAAATCAGACAGCACACCCCATCCCTTGAAACAGGAATGAGCTAATAATTGGGCACGTGCAATAACAAGATCCAACTGATCGCACGATGAAGTAGGCGAGCATGCCTTTCCTCTCAAGAACTGCAACAACTTGACAGGTGAAAAACAGTTCACACCTGCTGTGCACTTGTCAACACTGTATTCTATCCTGCTCGACTCTTCACGTATGCCAGTGTTCTCAACAACCTGGCATGCAATCTTGCTATAAGAGGATTTTGATGTGCAAGAGCATGACAGGCCTAACTGTATCCGTCTGGAAACCTCTTCCAAGGCACACCTGACTGCATTTTGAAACGTTTCGGAAGTGCTTTGTTTCTCAATCTGGGAGAAGTGGGACCAGAACGACTTTAGTACGGATGAATCGTTCCAAGCAAAGGTTCGGTCTCCAAAATAAGCTACCAAAAAGCAGCCCTTCTTGTAATATCTGACGGCCTTCTCAGATGCGTCTGCTGGATCAAATATCTGTCCAGGCCACCATGGATGGCTCCTGACCTTCCCCCAGACTAAATCGGACACTGCAAACTTTCCTGACTTTTCTGGAGGATGTAGGAAACCAGGATATATGTTTACAGGCTTCACTTCCTTCTCTTTTATTTCTTTTTGTTGTTTCAATTCAAGTTCTTCTTCTTCTTCTTCTTCTTCTTCTTCTTCTTCTTCTTGTTGCTCGTTGTCTAGAAACACGGTTTCTGCACCATGGACATCATCCAAGAAATACCCATCATTTTTCTTCGATGGCCCCTTTTCCCTCTCAGCTGCTTGCTCAATATCCACCTCATTGAGCACTGCAACATGTGAAACATCAGTTTGAACGGGCTGATCAGAAATTGGTGTCACTTCCGTGTTCTGCCCATTATCTACCTCAATATTTGTCTTACAGGTAGCCTCTATACTTTGCTGCTGGCAGGTTTCAATATTAGCCAGTATTGTGGTGTCCTCTTTGAGAGTGACAACACCCTCAACCAAAGATTTCAGAGCACCTGTTTGATCATTGACTGGAGCATCCTCACTCCTTGCCATTGAAGCATTTCTTCCCTCGTCGTCTTGCCAAAACCCTTCATCAACGAACTCAAATGCAGAATTAACAACAATCTGTTCACCCATCACCTCAGTGCCTTTATCAGTATCTAAATCAACAGCATCATTTGGCTCATGTTCATGGCCATCCAAACCTTCAAGTGCAAAGTTTGCAACTATCTTGTTTTCCAGGGCCTGTGTATTGTCAGGGACAACCACAGTCTGTACAATGTCAGTGTCTTTAGTTGATCCTAAGTTAGCTGCATCATTAACGACATCTAACTTTTCCTCATCCACATCCATCTCATCATTCTGCACAACATCAGAGTCATTAATAGAACCTAAGTTAGTTGGATTTCTAATGTCTAACTTTTTATCATCAATATCCATTGCATCATTGTAATTGGAGATTTCTAAGGACGCGTCATTCTCAGCAGATGAATGACGATCCCCAGCACTCTTGAGAGATTCAGCTTTATCATGAATTGCAGTACGGTTCCCTTCATCCCCTTCCAAACTTTCTTGACAATAAGGTAAGATTGTATCCCCGACAACACGACTATTGGCTTCCACCTTTGATTTTTTAATCTCATTTTCATTGAGAACTCCAACTTGCCCGACTCCAATAACGGCATCAGCCGGACAATCTGAGATCATACCAGACCCATGTTCTGTACAATCTTCATTGGTCTCCTCGCAACTAGTTGGATTTACTAAATTCTGTTCATTCTCCTCCAAAGAAGATGGTCTGGCAACTGCAACCGAATCATGCAGATCTTTGTCGTCACTATTTGTTGTATATTCTTCGCTAGGAATGTCATCTCCAACAGTTTGTCTGGGTGAAATTCTATCACTTGCATGACCAGAATAATCTATTATATCAACCTTCACGGAAACAATTGGATTATCCAACAAGCCTTTGCCTTTCTCAAAGGATGATACTACAACATCATCAGCAACATGATCACATATAGCTTCATTTTCAATTACACTTGTCTCCACTTCTCTTGTCATCGAAGCAACATCTTCGCAATGACTCTGTGAATTCTCTGACAGATCTCCATCTGTCTCGTGTTTTGTAAAATCTTCATTGTTCTCCTTGCAAATGGTTGGATCTGCAAAACCCTGTTCATTCCCCTCCAAAGAATATGGTCTGGCATCTGCAACTGAATCATTCAGATATTTGTCATCAATACTTGTATATTCTTTGCTTGAAATATAATCTCCAACAGTTTGTTTTGTGAAAATTCTATCACTGGCATGACCAGAACAATCTACTTGTATTGTATCATCATTCCCAGAAAAAATTGGGTTATCCGACAAGCCTTCACCTTTCTCAGACGATGATACTACAACATCATCAGCATCATAAGCACAAATAGCTTCGTTATTATTGAAATGTGTCTCCACTTTTCTTGCCATCGAAGCAACATCTTCGCAATGACTCCGTGGATGCTTTGACAGATCTCCATCTACAACTGAATCGAGCATATCTTCTTCCAAACATGTTTCTTCATCTATTGGAATCAAGGCGTCAGCATCTTCTGCAACACTATGGCCTTGAGAAGGAGATTCTGAAACTTTATTACTTTCATGGCCCAAACAATCTATTACATCAACCTTCTTGGAAACAGTTGGGTTCACTGAACTCGTCTGCACTTCTCTCGGCATAAAAGTGCCATCTTTGCATTGGCTTTGTGAGATCTCTGATTTAGAATCATATATATCTACATCTTCCATTTTCATATCTTCTTCTGTGGAAATCAAAGCAGCAGCATCTTCTGCAAGAGTTTGGCAATGTGGAATCATCGGTACGCACAGAGAATCTGAAAAATTTAGTTCGAGTTCTCTCTCGGATAGGTGTTCTCGGTAGCGAAGCAATTCAAATCGAGAATATATGCCCTGCTCTCTCTCTCTCTCTCATTTTAATTTGTTAGTTTGAGTTCTCTCTCGAATACATGGGTAGTTCTAGGTGGCATTGAGCTAGTGTGTGAACTCAATCTTTCTCTTATATTTTAATTTGATCATCGGGAAAGGCAAGCTATGGATGCCGAAGATCAAGGGTACAAGGCTCCTACTACAAAGGCGGAATATGAGAAGGGGTTGGAGGAAGACCTAAAGGGAGGCGTGTCATTGTCGGCTGAGAAGCGAAAGTATGGAAATGAAAGTACAAAACTACAAATTGAGCTAGTGTGTGTGTGAATTCAATTTGTTATCCTCTCTTATGTTAATCAAATGCTTCATTTCCTCTCTGAAGCATTCAATTAAAATAAGAGAGAAGAGAACATATTGAATTCACACACGCACTAGCTCAATTTGTACTTTCATTTCCATACTTTTTCTTCCCAACCGACAATGGCACGCCTCCTTTCTCGTATTCCCTCCATGTACTAGGCTTGGAGACATGATCCTCTTCTCCAATGTCCATAGCTTCTTTTTTGAGGAAGCATTTAATCAAAATAAGAGAGAACAGATCATATCACACACTAGCTCAATGCCGCCCAGAACTACCTACCTATCCTAGATAGAACTCAAACTAACAAATTAAAATGAGAGAGAGGGCATATATTTTGGAACCGCCTAGAACTACCGATCCGAAAGAGAAATCAAACTAACAGAGAGCATATACTCTCAATTTGAATTGATTCGCTTCCGAGAACACCTATCCTCAGAAACAGTTGGGTTATTCACTAAACCTTTACCTTTCTCAGAAGATGATACTCCCGTATCAGCAACACGGTCACATAAAGCTTCGTGTTTGAAACTTGTCTCATCTTCCCTTGGCACCAAAACAACAGCCTCTTTTCCCACAAATTGTCTTTGTAAATACATTCGTTCAGAATGGGAATCTGAAATATTATTACTGTCATTCAAATAACAATCACTATTGGCCTCTTCAGATACAGTTAGGTTCGATAAACCTTCACCTTTTTCAGAAGATCCTTCTACGGCATCAGAAACAGCATCACACATAGTTCCGACTGTGAACCTTGTCTCATCTTCTCCAACAATTTGGATTTGTGAGCAGTTTGGTTCAGAAAGAGAATCTGAAACTTTATTCCTTTCATGGCCAGAACAATCTATTACATCAACCTTCTCATAAGCAGTTGGATTCACTGAACTCGTATCTACTTCTCTTGGAGTCAAAGTTTCATCTTTGCAATGGCTCTGTGAAATCTCTGTTTTAGAATCATGCATATCTACATCTTCCATATTGGTATCTTCTTTTCTAGGAATCGAATCAGCAGCATCTTCTGCAAAAGTTTGGCTATATGGAATCATTGGTCCAGATAGAGAATCTGAAAATTTAATACTTCCCTGACCAGAATAATAATCTATATCGATCTCCTCAGAAACAGTTGGGTTATTCACTAATTATTTACCTTTCTCAGAAGATGATATTCCTGCATCAGCAACACTGTCGCAGAAAGCTTCGTCTTTGAAACTTGTCTCCTCTTTCCTTGGCACCAAAACAACAGCCTCTTCTCCCACAATTTGTCTTCGCGGACACATTCGTTCAGAACGCGAATCTGAAATATTATTACTTTCATTAAAACAACAATCACTATTGGCATTTTCAGATAGAGTTAGATTTGCTAAACCTGCTAAACCTTCACCTTTTTCAGAAGATGGTGCTCCAGCATCAGAAACAGCATCACATGTTTCGACTGTGAACTTTGTCCCCTCTTCTCTGACAATTTGGCTTTGTGAGCAGTTTGGTTCAGAAGGAGAATCTGAAACTTCATTGCTTTCATGGCCATAACAATCTATTACATCAACCTTCTCTGAAGCAGGTGGATTCACTGAACTCGCATCCACTTCTCTTGGTGTCAAAGTGTCATCTTTGCAATGGCTCTGTGAAATAACTGATTTAGAATCATGCATATCTACATCTTCCATTTCGCTATCTTCTTTTGTGAGAATCAAAGCAGCAGCATCTTCTGCAACCGTTTGGCTATGTGGAATCGTTGGTTCAGACGGAGAATCTGAAAAATTATTACTTTCATGACCAGAACAATCTATAACGATCTCCTCAGAAACAGTTGGGTTATTCATTAAATCTTCACCTTTCTCGGAAGATGATACTCCCGCATCACCAACACGGTCGCATAAAGCTTCATCTTTGAAACTTGTCTCCTCTTCTCTTGTTTCCGAAACAACAGCTTCTTCTCCAACAATTTGTCTTTGCAAACACATTCTTTCAGAATGGGAATCTGAAATATTATTACTGTCATTAAAACAACAATCACGATTGGCCTCTTCAGAAACAATTAGATTTGCTAAACCTTCACCTTTTTTAGAAGATGATGCTCCAGCATCACACATGGTTTCATCTTTGAATATTGTCTCCTCTACTCTAATAATTTGGCTTTGTGAGCAGTTTGGTTCAGAAGGAGAATCTGAAACTTTATTACTTTCATGGCCAGAACAATCTACTATATCCACCTTCTCAGAAACAGTTGGGTTCACCAAATCTTCATCTTTCTCAGAAGAAGGCAGTTCAGCGTCAACAGCAGAATCACCATGCATATCTCTGCCTTCAAATTTTGCATCTTTTTCTGTAGGAAGCAAAGCAACAGCATCTTCTCCAACAGTATGTCTTGGTGGACATTTTGGTTCAGAAATAGGATTTGAATTTTCATTATTGGTGTGACCAAAACAACCGATTCTATCAACCTTCTCTGAAAGAGTTGGAATCTTCACCAAACCTTCTCCCTTCTCTAAAGATGATGATACTCCAGCACCAGAAACATGGCCATACATAGCCTCTTCATCTTTGAAGCTAGTCTCCTCATTTTTTGGCATCAAAGTAGCCTCTTTGCAATGACTCTGTTGATAATTCGTTGATCCGGCAGGACTATCTGCAGTTTTATTTATTGTGTTAACAGAACAATCTATATATGTACATATATCATGACACGTTTGTAAATTGTAATGGATTCACCACAGTACCAAACCTTGTTTTTCCTCTGAAGATGATGAAACCCCGGCAGCATTTGCACAGAAGCCATGTGAAGCTTCTTCACCATTTAAACAACATTTCTCCTCTCTTTCGGGAATGGACACAGCATCTTCAGTAGTAAGTTGTTCTTCTGAACTCTTTGAGTCTCCATTCACACAACCAATCCCCCCACAATTCGTTACTAGATCATCTGGCTCAGCAGACATAGATACTAAATCAACATCTCGGGCTGCCCCCGAAACATTATCTCCAACACCACCTTCAGATTCCCTTTCGGAACGAGCAGAGGCCGCATTATCATCTTCTTCCATTAAATTGCTTCCACCATCCAAATCTTCACTTCTAAACTCTAAATCCGCCTTATTCAGGCTGTCCCCATCAACGAACACTTCAGAGCCCTTCACCTCAAACATTACATCACTTTCATCTTCAGCACGATCCAAATTCACCATAAGGGTTTCCTCACTATTCTTGGCTCTTGCCGCCCCTTCAGGTTCATCCATGACCGCAGAACCTAAGTAAAGGTTCCAGCTTCATGAGTGGAAAGAAGTAAAAACCCCAATCAACCAATGAGGAAACAATTCCAAGACACACATAAACCCTAATGCTCGAAACTAATTCTAGAAGCACACAAATCTGAACAAGACCCTTATGCACCAAATCAAGAAAATCTCAAGAAACAAAGATGTGATCTTAATACTAAAATCCAAGAATGCATTTTTAGGATTATAACAACTACAGTAGATGGGAGAAGAAGATAAAAAAAGAGGGTGGGGAAAAGATTACCTCTTTTAGGTGGTGTCCAGGGCTTCTGGCAAGTGAAAGCCGAGATTTTTGAAGGTTTTTAGAGAGAGAGAGAGGGTAGTAGTAAAGAAAATCTTTGAAGTCGCATCTAGTACTTGAGTGAATTCTATATTACTCCGTAATTTATTCTCCTTGAGAAAAGAAGAACCTGGAGCGGATTTTGTCTTAAGGTCATAGAAATTGATCTGAGCCCATATCTGCGGCCCTCATACGTGTACTCTGCAATTTCTAGTTTTAGAGCATATTTTCTTCAATTAATTTTTAATACTTAGTCAAAAAAATTTACATTATTACTATGAAGGCATTTTAATGTTTTTTGTTTATCTATATATTTTTATTTATTATTTCATAAAAAGTACTGATATTTTTTACACCTTGTTTTATATAATTTTTTATATAACTTTTTTAAACTATTAAAGTTATAGTTTTTATTTTTATACTAATTTGTAAATAAAATAAATTTAAAAATCATGGAATTTTACAATTCGTTTGAACATGGAGGTATATTACTTATTTTTGTTGGAATTAGATCAGATCAAATCAAATCAGAAATAACTTTAAATATAACTTGAGCGTGATCAAAGGAAGAAAGCATGTTCTTGAGCTTTGGTCATTATGTTTCAACTCTGGTGATTTCTAGCTTTAAACTTCTAACCATATACTTCCTCTATCCATGAATTATTTTTTACGGATGAGTTCATTATTTGCAGAAGTAGATTTTATCTACTTTGTTTGTTTTTGTTATTCATTTCATAAAATAATACGGGTTTAGTCGTGTTAATTTTAGTTTTATAGATTTTTTGATATAATATTTTAAATATATACAGATAAATTTTATTTTTTCTTCTACACCAATTTTTATAGAAATTAAATTAAAAATAGGTTCTCTACTTTTTGAGTTTTGAGTAGTGGTAATGTCCTTTGTACCACCTCCAATTGGCTGCCATTTGGCGTCTTGAGTACGCCATTCATTCTTCCCTTTTTTTGGTTTTAAGTTTTAACAAATGAATATGCTAGAGTAGTTCATACTTTAGAATACCCAAAAGTCCCTCTAATCCTTGGGCATTAATTTTTTTGTATTCATTTTTTTTTTCGTTTCAATTTTCTTTAGTTTAAAAAAAAGAGCCCGTGGTGATTATTAAAAACATCTCATTCATACATTTTTTTGTTAGTATTTAAATCTTAATCATACATTTTTAATTTGTTCCTTCACGTGTAACAAACAAATTTAAAGTATAGTCTTATTGTCCCAATTTCATTGAACCTTCATAGTCACTATTCATTCGATTAAATTATATTATTTTTTGAATATATTTAATTTTTATTTATTAGTTGTTAAAATAACATAATCATACGTCCTCTTATTTTAAAGATATTTTGATGTAATTTTTAAATATATAAATTATATTTTTAATTTTATACGGAGTATTAATTTTCATATAAATTTTATCAAAAATAACATTGATCAAACATTGTAAATCATTCTGTGATGCAACAAGTGGGACAAGTACTCAATTAAAAGTTGTAAAAAAAAGCATTTCACTTGTCTAAATTTCATGTATATAGAATAAAAGTCTAAAAAAATTAAATTGAATGAATAAAAGTAGTGTAAATGAGAGAATATCATGGTCCACAAAAGTTTTTTCAAAGTGGGAAGTTTACCAAAAAAATGAAAAGTAAAACTTTTTTTGAAACTAACAAAAATAAATCTAGGTTTTTTATATAGCGGAAAAAGTGCTAAATAAAAACTTTAACAAAAATTGTATGATTGCGATTTTTTAAAATAAAAACTTGAAAAAATTCGAAACAAATGGAAAGTGAGTACAAGTATTTTAAAGTTTGAACCCTAGCATTCATTTTTGTCAAAAAAAAAAGAGAGAATACTCATTTTTGTATCAAGAACTTCGACTTTTTATTACTAATGCAGTATTACTTTTAGATTTACTTTCTCACGTTGTCTTTCAATCTTCATTTTATTTTGAAATTTTGGCCTTTTTTTTAATTTTTTTTTTAAGGTTTTTTGTTTAGGTCCCTAATTTAAAAAATATTATGGTATGTTTGGGAACATGGATTTGGATTTCAAATCCGGATTTGGCTCAAATTCCATGTTTGGAAAACTTAAAAATTTTAAATTTGGATTTGAGTCAAATTATTCTCATTCATAACAAAGCTTAATTTGAAATTCATGCACCTTCTTTTGTCATTTGAAATTCAAGATTTCAAATTTTGGAATTGAAATGCATGAATTGAAATGAAATGCTAGTTGCCAAATACTACATTAGAGACTTCATCAAACTCAATTTTTTTCCTAAACCAAAAAATTAACGAATGCAGTGATATTAAAGAATAAAATCTTCTGCTAAAAAATAGAATAAAATCTTGATTTAAATATAAAAAATAGTATGAGAATAGAATTTGAGAGTGAAATATTTAAAATGTGATAATCAAACTAATTTATGATGTTGTATGTCGATAATGTGTTCCCTTTTGTAAACCTTCTAATTTTAGTTACTCATATCTAAATACTTGTTTGAGATGAAGTTCGATGTTTTTACATTTCACATTGTTTTTAAAAATAAATCGAGAGCAGTACCCTCAGTATCCCATACTATTCTGCCACTAATATCAATCTCATACTATTCTACCACTAATATCAATCTTCCCAAGGTTAATTATATTTTGAGGTATACACCAAAGCAAAAACAAACACATACACACACTCAATCTTGACAATGAATGTCTGTTTTTGCCTCAAAGTGTACACCAGGAGAGATTTTCCAAGCATTTTTCTTATATTTTCCCCCAATCTCTCATTGTTGGCATCTTCTTCTTCCATCTTCCTTTTTGTCTCAAATCTTCAATTTTCCCTTCTTCATTACTCTTCTTCTTGGGTCATATTCTTGTCAATCAATTCTCTTCTTCTTCTTTCTTGTTTGATCTTCTTCTTCTTCTTCTTCCATATTTTTGTTCTTTGATCATCTTTCTATATCATTTGCTTTATAAATTCATATTTCTTTTTTACAAAATGCACAAAATTGTAAAATTATTCTAAAATCATTATAGAAGTTTACGGCGGGCGCGTTTGGTTTGTTACAATTAAGACGAATGAAGAAGATATAACTTGAGTGCCTGTAATTTGCACCATTTGAGGAGGCACACAGGATACAATTCAGAAATCTAATTCAGTATAAAACGTCACCATCATCATAAACGGAGAATGTACACTAAATTGGCAAACCTAGATTCCCCAATGGAGTCATAAACACGTTGGAGGACTAGAGGGAAGAGATTGGCGACTTCTGGGCAATGTCATAAACAGAAATGAGGATTTCAGCGCTTATGAGTATGATGATGAGCCATTCCAAGAAATCCGACTTTCTGTTCTGAAGAATCTCCTGAAGAAACCTTATATTGTGCTGCAACCAAACACACATTTAATCTAACTACTTCCGACTTAAAACATAGTAAAATGGTACTAGAATAAATTAGTAAATCATTGTCCTGGAAAACTGAATTAATTACCTCAACAAATTTCAACTTGAAATCAAGGCTGGCAAATCTCTGAGTCAACTCGAATTCATCTCTCAGGTATTCCCATATCTGAGCATATTTTGCATCTTTCCATGCAATGTCCGATCTAACACATTTTTACAAAGAAAACGAGTTTTGAGAAACAAAAGGCTAAGGACTGCAGGTATAGCCCCTCATGGACTAATGGAAAACTAAGAATCTGTGTATTCAAGACAAGAAAACAACAAAACCCAATATAATACCAACCCCATTGAGGTTGGTTGGGGTCAAAAGATATATGGACCCATTAGAAAGCAAAAATGTTGTTTCCGGCTTTTTGTTACGCCCTTGATGAATTGCTACAGTTACTACCCAAAAAATCATTGTAGTGAGAAGCAAATGAAGTTTAACGTGATAATCTCAATCATTATCAACAAAGAAAAGGATATAAATATCTTGCACGTGGAGACAGTTTTTACCTTTCGAAAAGCCCGAGTTTAAGGATAACATCAGCAAGATTAGAATTTGCCTTTCCAACCAACTGGAAAAGCTTTTTCCGCTCCATGGTAAAAGTGCCAGTTTTTTCCATTCCTCTGTTGATATCTGTAAACTCCGCAACCATTCCATCAACCTGAAGAAGGAAAGGAAAGAGTTCTGAAAGACTGAAACCAATGCTGAGAACTGAAATACGGAGTACTACTTAAGATTCACTGGGACTAACATACCTGACGGACATAGTAATCAAGAGCAATACTTTGGCCCAGAACGCTGCCAATTGTACGGATGCCATCAATATTCAAATACTGCAGCATAATGTAGTCTAGCCCACCTTGCATCCACGTATTTAAATTTGGATTCTCTTTCACCTCGTACTCTGATTTCAAAGCAAGAAAAATATGGGGTTGAGTACAGGGGCAAGAAGAAATTTGTACATAAGACAGGTGACTTTTGAATTTGATATGATGCATGTGTTTGTGTGTGGGATGTGCATAAGTAGAAGAATAGTTGCAGATGCCCTCACCATCCTTCTTCATCTCAGGCAACAAGCCAGAAGAATGTTTTTCAACGATTTTTAGATACCCATCAACCTCATTGTCACGGACATTGAACAGGACGATTGAACCATAATGGAAAACTACCATATAACAACAGTCATTGCCACTTAAACCAAAACCTGAATCCTATATAATGTACAATAAAGTTAGAGCCATACAAAAGAAAAAATGTGATAAAATAAGCCATCATGACTTATGAGAGATGCATATCAAAAGACCAAGATGATTTTCGTAAATTCTCAAATGTAGGAGACATATTAAATACTGAACACAAGTGTAAAATAGCTTCTTCTTTTTACCCTCCTTATAGTGGGTAGCTGAGATATTAAGAAAACCAGCATCACCACTGTCTACTTGAAGCTTGAAATAGAACTGCTTCAAGTGACACTGCATTTACATGCTCCAAAGAAATATTCTGTTCGATTTGAAATGAATTCAGATCGTCCAGAGAGTCCATACTTCATAGATGGATAGCATAAAAGATAAAAATTAA